CACCTACCCACGTGTCTGTATTCCTCAGGAGAGGCACAAATTTGGATGAGGAGAAGTCATAAGGAAATCCTCTGAAACAATAGTAAAGGCACAGAATCAAGATAGAAACTCTCCAGGAGCCATGATGAGACAGAAGAACTCTTGCCTAGGGAATACTCACCTCTGTGCAGTTTGCCAGGAAAAACCTATGCCTGGGGAAATACATGCTGTCACTGAAAGATTTAGGGAGGCAAAGGAAAAAGGACGGAAGGGAGGAACCCTGTGTGGAGGAGAGGCTCCTACAACGGCTGCAGAGAGCTGATGAAGACAGGAAAAAAAAGCTCAGGAAAAGGTGGGTTCTCCCAAAGTGGTGAACAAATATTACCTCAGAAGGTAATTACAGCTGAAGAAATGCATGCACTGAAAGGGCTGCTGCATGTTTTAACCCACAAGGCAGCCACACTCCTTTTGCAGAATTGCTGCTGCTTTGTTCAGAGGAGCTGGTTCACAGTCATTTTAATCAGCTGCTGTCTGAGGTTTTTTGGAATGAACTGAATACAAGTACTAAATTCAGTTGTTGTGACTACAAAGTGGGAGGAGAGGGATGCTAAAGCTCTTGGCTTCAAAATATAAACAGTGGAACTCTGTATTTCACCCACAGAGGAAGAAGACAAAACCCAACTCAGTTGCTGTGATGTGTTTTTAACTAGCTTTAAGAAGAATACCTGGAAATGTGAACTTCATCTTGCTTGGATTAAGCACCCAAACTGGATGCCTGACCTGTCTACAGAAAGTGGAGCCCTAGGGTAACTTGAGGGCAGAGTGGAGTAAAGATGGCAGCAGGCAGAAAGCTCTGTGGGTAGAAGAACAGGGGCCATACTGGTTTTATGAATAATTTCTTCACAGCCTGGGCCTGAGCACAGGAGCTCAGTTCAACAATTCAAGCTGTTAGAACAGCCCCTGGTACACCCTGGCTTGGGACAACCTGCCTTCTCCCAAACCATGCCAATCACAGCCCAGGAGGGAGCCCAGGCCAGCAGGCACTTGCATTCTGGACACAGCCAACCTCACTGAGAGGACAGAGAATGTCATGGTACAGCCACAGCCAGACACTGCCCAGTCAGCCCTGGCTGAGCACTGATGCTGCTCTGGATCCCTGCTGCACACAGCTCCCCTCACTCCCTGCCAACCTCCCTTCAAACCACTGGCAAATCACACCTTTCTTCCATTGCAGAATTTTCAACAGTACTATCAAGTTCAGGTGAATAGATCATCCAACTTGTGCTTGTCTTCCAGGCCTTGTCCTTCAGATGTATTAGCCTCTTTCAGGCTGCTCTTGTTCCTTTCATTCCTAAAGGCATGTCAGTTGGAGAACTCCCTGCAACTGAGACTAGCCACATGATATTATTTTGCAATTTATGAGGAAAATCCTTTAAAACATTTTTTAAAAATACTATGCCTTTAAAAACTCCAATACCAAAGCACCATAGTAGCCTACTAAGGATTTAAAAATATGTATCTGCAAATGGTGAGCTCTATGGATTAAAAGAAGAGTGACAAAGAGTGGTGACAAAGCTAAGTCAATATACCTAATATTGTCCCTACAATGGGGAGTTAATTATGTATCTGATTTCCTACTTATCAGGGAAATAAAATATTTTAACAAAGGAATATTATAGTGATTTTGACTCAAGAGAAAAAAAAAAGGAAACAAAACCCCAAACCCAAGAGATGCACCTTTAAAAAATGCTATGAGAGATTTACAATGACTTACAAGTCACTGTATACTTAAAGTACTAAGAAGAGTGAAATAGAGCTATAAGTGTGCCACTGCTGCAAACGTGAGTATACTATAATTCATTCCCTTATGCACAGCTGATATCAAAGGATAGTCTTACTCTGCGTTAGGAGTTATTTTTCCTACAGGACCTGTATATTCTGTCCAAAGCTGAAAAGATTTCTACAAATGTCCAGGAAAACCTGCAGAGTAATTGGTGACAATACACTGGAATAACAGTACTCCAAACTATCAAGAAAGGCAGAGGGTGAAGAGAACATATTTCAATGAATTTCAACACTGCATCCCACAAATATAAGTTAATATTTAGCACCTTTTATTCTAGGAAGAACCTGGCTTCTGGGGTAAAAAAATATAAAGGAGGAGGCTTGTTAAAAGATGAAAACTTAATCAGAAATATCTGTTGTTTTTGACACGTTCCTGGTTTGGAAAAAGAGCAAAACCCCAAGCCCTCCTCTTGTTAAGAGGAGCAAAATGCTGTTAAGAGTAAGAATCCTGTTAAGAGTAAGAATCCCAGAATCATTCTGCTAACACAGAGAGAAAGCTTTGAGGCATAAGAACTATACAACAGAGAAACATGAAGTTTGTAGATCATCATTAAAACCCACAAAAGATGAGGAGCTGAACTGACATCAAAGAGCAGCTCAGACACAGCCCTGAAAGTGAGGCAGACAATCAGCACCACTGGGATGTCTCTTCCAGGCAAAAGGAACAAGCCCATTATGAGCTTCCACCTGGATGGACACCAGCAATACAAAACCAGAAAAAAAAGCCCCTAGCTTAGCATTTTACCCCTAAGGCCTGATATTTAACTGGATACTGGGTGGTTCAGCAGCACAGCAGCAGTGCTGGGCCAAATCCAACTCACAGCCTTCTGGCCCAGGAGAAGTTGTTACCAAATGAAGCATGCTGACAGCATATGGAGGCCTGTGCTACTGGAGCAGTTTCATCCTCATCCAGAAAGCAAAAAACCTGTAAGATTATGCCAAACACATGATTCAATTTAGGTTGGAGCTCTGCTGCTCAAAGCACTCTGGACACCACTACTTCACAAAATGGACTGGCTTGTTTCAGTGCTGACTCTACTGCTTTCCAAAGGTTTTTCAGAGGGGAAAGGAGCATGGATTTTTTTTTTTCCTTTTAAACCTGAATTTACTAGGCACTAGGGGACAATTTACTACTAAACACATTTATCTATCTGCTTCACCTCCTGTTTATTCATTCCCATGCCAAAGTAACTTCAAGCACATGTGAAGCACTAAAGCTATGGGGCTTCAGCACCCTCTTCAAAGCATGCAAGCACCAAACATTTTAACAGGCACAGAAGACCCTAAGATGTCCCCTGAGAACTGCCTATCCACTGACTACTAAGCGCCTGCCTTTGGCCTCTCACCTAGACACCTCTTACTAGAAGGCACAGAGCTGGGATACAGTGCTGATGTACAATCTGATCTCCATTGATGTGAGCTGAAAATAACTTCCATGGAAGCAGGATGAGTTGCAGGAGAACAGCGACAATGAAAAATCCACCTCAGAATTCTTGTTTCCACTTTCATGTTTCTGCCCCAACACTGCACATGTGAGAATCACAGAAACAGTAATAAACAGATATGGAGATGTCTTTTATAGATAGCCAGCCACTGCTTTAGAGTGAAAAACATCTGACTGCATAACTGCTGCTGCAGAGCTGCAGCTCTGTCCCAGTGAAGACCACACTTCTTATATAAATGAAGCTATTTTGATTCAGTAACAATTCTGTACTTGGAAGGAATGGAAGCAATAAACTAAATGAGGATTAAATACCAGGTCTTGTCATCCTTCAGTGCATTAGAAGACCAAAATAATCAAGATTTTCAAATGCTATGTCAAGCTGTGCAGAGCAGAAAAGCAAACTTCTTGCTTGTTTTGGCATAGCAAGCTTTTTACAGCTTCTATTTGTTTTAAGTTGGAAAATATAACATTGCATTTGCTAACCCAATAGATCATTTTCCTATCCAAAAAAGGACAGCTGCTTTTGTAAAAATACAAACTAAGGACCATTTTGTGGGAAGTATTGCTTTATCTAACTTCTTGTTGTAAATAGTTACTTAAATTTTTTAACTCTCCTTAAACAAAAGAATAATTTTGATGCTGAGTAATTCAGCACATTTTATCAATAGAGTAATAGTTAATGTTTTTCTGGTGAATCTTTTCTGATTTAAAGGATTAAATACTTCAAGTAAAAAGGACAATATCTGGGCATCCACAATTACATGATTATAATAGCAGGAGGAAAGTCCAAATGGTGCTTCCAGTATTATTCATCTTATTTGACCAAACTTAGTGTAGGAGACTCCAGCTTAGACCTAGAGTGAATGATCCCCCAGAAATGATTTAATGCCACTGGGAAACACCAAGAGAGGGGTCTAGCTTATTACTCTCAGTTACTTCCTATTGCCATGCAGAAGCATTTTGAAAGCACAGTCTAGATCCAAGACAACACTCAGTGGTGGCTGGGACTCTGGGTGGCTGGAACCATCCACTTGGGTCAGTCAGTGCTTACTGAAGATCAAGAACAGCTACACCTTCTCCACTTGGACATCTAAAGCCTGAGACACCCTAAAAAGTAGTTGATATTCATCATGATCCGAGCACAGAAAAGCTTAATTTGCTTCCAGAGTTTAGTAGAAATCAGTTTGGAATTCAGTGAGAAATTCCATCTTGAAGGAAAGAAAGTAACTGGCTGAAAATTACTGGACACACAGATACCAGTATCAGGAAGCTTTGACCCAATTACTGTTTCTCAAGCTGTTCCTGCATATGCCTTAGTGGCATTTAGCATCTGACACCTTCAGACAAAGGAAAAAGGAAAGAAAAGGCACAAGTGAGCTCAAAAGCAGTTCCAGACACTGTAATCAGAGTGTCCTGTGTACTCCAGAAGGCACATCCACTGGGTGCTGGAGGGCTGATGCTCTGTGGTGGAACCCTGCAGTGCCCAGCAAAATACCTTCTGTAGCTGGGACTGCTACCAAGGCACTCATCATGTCCCTGTCACTTCAATGTCCTGAGGGATGCACTGAAAAGGCACTACCAAGTCTCTTCCCTCTATCAAAGCACCTCATTCATGAAGTGTAGAGGCCCCTCCTCCCCTGTGAAATTTAGCAGTGTGGGGACAGTGACATACAACAGCCTTATTCAGAAAGGCTGAAGTCTAAATACCTAATTTACAGGATTTTAGGCATACCTGATTATACCAAGAGGGTCTAAAATTTCTTCTTCTTCCTCATCTCCCTCTTCTTTTTTCTCCCCTTTTTTGACATCTTCCACTGATAAAAGCTGTGAGATTAAGTCAGGTGTCTTCTCCTCTTGGAAAAAATCCAATTCCTCATTTTCTTCATCTTCTTTCTCCCTGTCATCGGGTATGTTTTTACCCTTGAAGTCAATGGCACTGGAAGATTTTGTTCCTGCAAAACACAATAATGGAGGCAAAACTGAGTATACAAGATAAAAAATACAGTTTTTTAATACCTTGCACTTGTTGCTGAGAGTTTTGTTTAAGGAATGAAGGACATGATCAGCTTTTGTGAAACTCTTTCAAAACACTCCCACTGCTCCCTTTATGTGTCATCCTGTGTCTGATCTGTTTATTGATTCAAAGTAGTTAAGTAGAGAAAGATAGAGGAAATGAACTTTATCTGAGACACAGCAGCACATGTCAAATCTGTTATTTATGTTCCTTCTACAGTCAACAGAAACAATAGAATTTCCACGTGGTGATTCATCCCATCCAAATGAAGTCATGTGAGTTTCTCTCTGAAGTGCTTATTTCTCTTCTACTGGCTACAGAGACACTGTAAATACTCTGCACAGATGTAGGTAGCTAACTTTCACATAGCTAGTAGAGATAAAATCCTCTTTTTGATACAGTTTAATTAACTTGGGTTAAAATTAGAGCATTGGACAGCATGTTTCTACAGCAGCTCTTCAGTTTACACTGAAAAATGAAGCCTGAAGTTCTAACACCCTTCAGTATGCAAGATGCATCCAGCTCAGCAAATTCAGCCAACTGAAAAATAAAACTAAGTCTTCTCACCACACTTGTTCATGCAAAGAGCAGCAGAATGAGGAGAAAATGGTTCTTTGTTGGGGAGTTTCTGAATGTCCAGGGAAGCAATTTGAAATCATGAGCCCAGGTAAAAAAAAGGCTACTGAAAACTGTGATGAATAAAATTCATGGCGACACCATTTTGACTATTGAAGTAACGTGGCATGGGAGACTCATCTCACCCAGCTTTTCATGTCTGCATCTGCCAAATCAGGGTAAGACTGACATTATTCTAATGCAAATTCTGATTTCACATTACTTGCACCCAACCTGCCCACAGAATGAAGTCCAGCCTAGTTTACCTACAGATGTGCACCATGGTTAGGTTAACCAGCAAGCAAAGATCAATCAACATAAATTCTGAATACTCTGCGCAAGGGATCTGCTTCCAAGAGAATACTGCTCAGGAAAAAAAAAGCCCAAACAAAAACCTTACCACCTGGATTTTGCCATGCATTAAGCAGCTTTGCCCCCTTTGACTTTAGGAAGCTCCCAGTTCACAGAACTAATCTGGCCACACCTGACACTTCTGCAAAATGGGCTGTTTACACTTGTTAGTTTCTTGCAACTTCACTTAAAAGTAACCCTCCACTAAGAATCCTGCACAGCACCAGGCTGGAGTACTCCCTGTTCAGCAGCCCTCAGGTGAATTAAAAGCAGAGAACTCATATGTTCCACCCATTCAGTAACTCCCTGCTATGCCCAAGAGACAGCAGAAAAGAACTGTAAGAATCACTAGACAAGACAACAAGAGCTGGACATAAATCTAAGGAAAACTAAGAAAAAAAATTAAAACAAACTAAAAAGAAAAAAAAAGCTAGCCATAGAATGTGTTTAACTAACAAAGAATCTGTCTTCCATTTAAATCTTTCCCAGAGTAAATAATTTGGAGGAAAACCAGACAAAACATGGAAGAGTTGCTCACCAAGAGAGACCCTGCACTGTCCCTTTAGGGTCCATCTCCCCACTGACAACATATGACTATTAAGCCTTCTAAACTTACATGCTCTGAAGTACAGCAGGAAATCAGGGACAGGCTAGCACAATGCTTGTTTTGAAGGTACCTATCAACACCTCTAAATGAGGCAGGTGTCCACTGAGAGGAGGGAGAAACACTAGCAAACATGACTGTGCAGCACTGTAAATGCACATGAGGATATTTTCAGGGACAGCCTTTATTCTGGCACTCTCTAGTTTTTGGCTGCCCAAGTCAAGAACTTAACACTTCCATAAAGCACATTCCTGGGAGAGGGGACACTCACATCTTTTAGTTACCTAAAAATTCCAGTAACTCAGGACTCGTTGCTAGATCCTCATCTTTGGAGATGAATTTCATGATGTCATTGAACATAGCTCTTCGCTCAGAGATGTCAGATTCCCCCACAAAGAGAACTTTTCTAGGCAGGAGTGGCAGAGAGACCTGTGGATACCGTGCTGCCAGTCTCTGGTAGAGCTCCTCGATCTCGCTGTACTTCTTGGAAACCTGCAATGAAAATGTATTGCCTGGGTTCATTTCTTTACAGGTGAGACAGAAGCAGCAAAGCAGCAGTGAAGTGCTGTGAAACATTAACTGTGGAAGTGGAAAACCATGTATTAGCAAGGAGCTTTACATATGACCTAGCAAAAGCCTGTTATGTACCCAGTGAATCCTTAAGCATTGTTGCTAGTCTTCTAATTCTGTTATTAAAAATCCACTGCTTAATCGAGTTAAAGTTCATTGCCAGAATTCATTTGTCTGACTCATCAGCTAATGAAATACTGGGAAGGTCACTGCTGCAGATACTTTTCTGACAGCAGGAATCCTTGTCCACTAAAAGTGATGCCCAGTCCTGAGAGACAGGAGGGAAGAAAAGCCCTGCCTGGTAGGTACATGGTGGAGAAAGCTGCCCATGTCTTTGCACTACTGTCCCACTCCTCACTCCTGGTGGCTTCAGTGCCCTTTGGCTGCTTAGGCCTAAAAAACTGTCACGTTTTCTGCCCTGAAGAGCACATGACACAAAAACCTAAGGGCAAAGAGCTCAGCTGACTTCTGACTATTTAGTTCATCCATGAGAAAATAAAAATCAACAACTTGGCTGTGGCCTAAAAGGTTCTCATACAGGGAGAAGATGCCAGGAGTGAATGGAGTCATTCCTTCTGTGGACAAAGACAGGAAGCCTGAGGAGAAATAAGGCTCAAGATATTACAAGGAAAGCAATAGCTATGGGAATGTTGGTTAGAAAAGGTGTGGCTTTTATGCCACATTAAGTATTGAATTCAGTACCTTAAACCAATACACAAAACCCACACACAAACAAAACACTATCTCTAAGTGATGTTACAGATGCAATGAGGGTGACTTCCCTGCTCTGTGGTGTTACACAGATTGTTGTATTTGTCAAGGCCCTCCATGGATCCATAATCTACCAAACTGTTTCGATTAATACAGAGATAAAAAACTACTCCAAAAACAGTGCTAGTGGAGTGCATAAGGCACAGACACTCTTTTAGGGTCCAGCTCTCATCCTCCTGTAACATGTGTTGCTGAACTCTAGAGGAGTGAATCCTAATTAACACTGCAATATGTGCAGTATTGCAGATACTGAGATGGATATAGAAGAAGGAGAGACTCAAGCACCACATCTTGGAGTGGAGTAATGCAGAGTTCTCCCATCAACACAGTGATAAAGAAAGTCAACCTAACAAAAAGCACAGAAGGGAAATGAGTTATAGATCAGTGCAGAATCCCTTGCACTGCATCTATACAGGCAAACTAAACAGCATCAGGCATATTCCCAGCCACTGGAACCTGAGAGCACCTACTAGAAACCTCATTTAAAGCGTCTACTGGAACCTGACAATGTCTGGCACAGTTTCTACACTCTGGGCAGCTATCATGCTCCCAGATAACTCTTCAGCCCAAAATCTAGCCCAGTGGAGAGACCCCAGAGCAGCCAGTTTGGGCATTGATGCCCACTGCAGATGGTAAGGAAGTTTAATGCTGTGCATGCAGCCAGACTGTGTGAGCTGCCCTCCAGGCCAGGGAACAGGCCCTGGCAGTAACAGGCACACCTCAGCCAGTTCACTGATTCAGATGTGGGCACAAAGAGCAATAACCACCTCAGCGTCACGCTTCCCTGCCTTTCGCAGTAATTATCAACCTAGCCAGATGATTTGGAAAAGCATTTGCATTTCAGCTGTACAATGTTCACTGTGGGTTCAGTGCCCAGGCACGAAAGGCAAGCAGCTTTGTAACAAAGATCTGAAACACAACACCCAACCTGAGTCGACAGGGGAATGAAAACCAAGAATTTTAGACTCGTCTTGTGAAAGCAACAAAGGTAAAGTGTGAGTAACACTGTGCTCGGATCTGAAATGACGGATCTGAAATGACATTCAGCAACCAGGCACTAAAGTGAGGGCAATAGAGATGTTCCAGAACATCACAATCTTCCCTCTGAAAGACCCCCCCAAAAAGAGAGGGGAAAGCAATTCCAGAGCTTCTGAACTGCTGTACATTTTTAGTTTGCTAGGTCCCAGTAGTGCTCTGAGCAGGGTAGGATGCCTGAGCCCCTCCCAAACATACTATGTAAGCACAAATGTAAGGGCAGTAAGGAATTCACCGGTGCTCTTTCAAAAGAATAAACATCATTACCCTCCACCCAGGAGAAAAAAAAAGTCTGATTTGCAAAAAACATTTAACAGCTAATTAATTTCAGTAATAACTACCAAATTAATTTCTGAAAGCATTACAAGACAGCAGCCAATCAAGATTATGCCAAAACAGTTTTTTAAAAATACTCTAACACTGAACTGAGATACACAAACTTATTTCTTTCCCCACTTAATTTTCATTCCTCCTCTATCAAAGTCTGTAAATTATTCATAAATCTCAATTTATGTCTAATTACACCACTGAACCTAAAGCAAACGCACACCCTCGCATCCCATCGCTAATTGCGCCTTTGTGGATCTACGTGGGCTTTGAACAACAACGCCGGGAACGCACAGGCGACACGGAATACCAAGTGTGACAGCTCTGTCCCCAAAGCATACTAATGTGCTTCCCCGAGCCCGCAGCACAGCGGGCCGGCCGATAGATAGATATCCTGCAGTGCCGGGATGCCCTCTGCTGGAACACCTCGATGTACCAGCGAGGCGTCAGCCCCCAGAACACCCTGATGTACCAGAGAGTGTTAGCTCTGCAGAACACCCAGCTGTACCAGAGAGGGGTCAGCCCTCCTGAATAGAGGTGTCAGCCCTGCAGAACACCCTGTTCTACCAGCGAGGTGTCAGCCCTCCAGAACAGAGGTGTCAGCCCTCTGCTGGAACACCCAGCTGTACCAGCGAGGTGTCAGCCCTGCAGAACACTGTGCTGTACCAGCGAGGTGTCAGCCCCGCAGAACACCCAGTTGTACAGAGAGGTATCAGCCCTGCAGAATACCCTGTTCTACCAGCAACGTGTCAGCCCTTCAGAACAGAGGTGTCAGCCCTCTGCTGGAACACCCAGCTGTACCAGAGAGGTGTCAGCCCTCTGCTGGAACACCCAGCTGTACCAGAGAGGTGTCAGCTCTCCAGAACACCCTACTGTACCAGACAGGTGTCAGCCCTCCAGCCAAAACCATTCCCTGCTTAACCAAGCCCAGTGCTGGCCCCTGCCAGCCCCTGCCAGGCTCCTCACCCACTGTCCCTGTGCCTCCAGCCCTGGCAGCCACGGGCTCCTCAACACCCTCAGTCAGCTCTGCTGCTAGATTTACCTGGGGTTTGGTGCTGGAAATGCAGTGGCAAGGCTGGCTGAGCCCAGCAGCCCCAGACTGGTGTGCTGAGAACCACCAAACAGTTTGGGTTAGAAGGGACTCTAAAGATCATCCTGTTCAATATGGGAGGGACACCTTCCCCTGGACCAGGCTGCACAGAGCCCCATCCAACCTGGCCTTGAACAGTTCCAGTGATGGGGCAGCCACAGCTTCTCTGGGCAACCTATGCCAGTGGCTCAGCACCCTCACAGTCAAGAATTTTTCCTTCCATCTAATCTAAACCTTCCCTTTTTCAGCTTAAGGCCATCCCCCTTGTCAATTCCAGGCCCTTTGTAGCCAGTCCCTCTCCTGCTTTCTTACAGCCCCTTCAGGTACTGGAAGGAATCCAGTGCCACCCTGGAGCCTTCTCCAGGCTGAACAGGCTCTCCCCTCCCCGTGTCCTCACTGTCCCAGCTCTATGACCACTCCTGTACCCTTCCTCTGGATCTGCTCCCACGGGTCCATGTCTTTCCTGTACCTGGCACCCCAGAGCTGGATGCAGCAGCACAGAGGCCTTACACAAGTGCCAGACAGGTTCCACACACTGTATTTTTTCAAGCAAATCCCAGACGTGATGCAGAGCATTCTCACATCTTTCTAGTTAGAAAGCACTGCTGCTGCAACAATTCTGGACCCTTTCAATTTGACATCCTCCGTTAATCTTCCAGGAGAAAGGTGTATCAGCATGTAACAAAATTAAATCTTGCCTTTCCTGGTTATCACTTACAGTGCTTTGAAAATCCTTGATGGATCCTATGGCCCAAAATGTCAGGATAGAAAATAAGCACTGCTGTAAACCCCATTTTACCAATCCTATTAAATAAACAAAGTTTGATTTGATTAATATTCAGATATTTTTCTTCTGCTGCCTGTAATTCCTCCAGGTGTTGATCCTGCAGTTATCCTCCCCCCTCCATGCCTCTAACTGAACTCTGTGAACACTGTTGAGCTAAACCCCACCACCTGTAAGTCAGCCTGAGTGCACACACTTCAAGGAGTTCTGTCAAGTCACAATATCAAAGGCTCAATCTGCTTCACTTCAAAAGAGTTAATCATGCAAATACAGCAAAGCATGTGCACATTTGCCAGGTCAAGACCTTATTTGCCTGTAACAATTAACATCTAATACAGAACTTAAAAGACAGACAGGGATGGGTTGAACGGTTTTTTTGGGTTTTTTTTTTTCCCACTAGGAACAAATAAGTAAGTTGAATGTGATCAAGTATAACTAGAAGGTTAAGAAAACCACCATGAAGTTCAAAGTGAAAGTCTGAAGTTTGCTACTAATCCTTCAAATCTCATGCATGTGCCTTGCCCCCCTCTTCCCAAGGGCCTCACACAGGAAAGTACACACCGGAATGGCTGCGGGATACGAGCCTGGCACTCACAGTTGTGTGCAGAATTTGATCCCACTCAGTATTAATGCCATTTAATGCCTCTTACCCTTCAAAGCTCCTTTTACTGCCCCATTTGTGACCTCAAACTTGTCTTCATATGCTTTATATCTACTGCAAGGATTTCAACAAAATGGAGATCTCAGAGCTAACTTGAGCCCTTTGCCAGCCAGAGCACACCAACAAAGAGCACACTTGATTTTACAGTATTTCGTGAAAACCAGGGCTACAGTGACCTTCTTCTTACAAAGCCCACTTCTTAACACTGCAGAAAAGGGAGATCCAGCATCTCTGTCCTTTTAAACAACCACTAGCTTTGGGTACCAGAACCAAAACCCCTTCTCCCAGGCAGCACAAACCAAGCTTTTGCTTGGAAACTCCCAATTCAAGCCATACCAGAATGAATGTTGCTTGGTGACCCCGTGGGTGTGCATTATGGTAGATTTTAATTACATGACCACATGCTGTTCTCCTCATCTGTTTTGCCCAGCAGAAGAGCAAGAACTGTAATATTTCTTTTTAATCAGCATGAATCCTTAGTGGCTCCTGAACCTATTGCTACACTGAGCATGGATTTTTTTCCCCTCCTCTCACATCACAGAAGCTATAAGGTGAAGGAATTTATCTTCACAACATACCTGCACAGTCAGGAAAATGCAACTCCAATGCACAGATTTTCAGATTTTGAGGCCCAAAAAAAAAAAAAAAAAAAAAAAGGGCAACATATGCAAAAAGGCAAGGATGAAAACATAAATGAATACACACCCACGTATTCATATACTCCCTCATTTTAAGAGAGGAAGATAGTTCTATAGTAAATGTCTCCCTAAATTGTACTATGCCTGTCAAACACCAGTAGTTATTTGTTCAGCTTTGAAAAAGAAAAAACTTGACTAACAAATAACTTGTACAGAAGAATCAAACTGGATGCAGATACAAAGAGAAGGCACTAAAGGCTGGGTGGATTTTTAGTAAGGCTGGGAAGGGAGAAGTTAATTGCTAAAAAAGCTAAGGTGTGGCTAGAAGAAATGCCTTTAAGAAAAGCAAAGCCTTTTCTTTTTATCACAGAAAATGGCAAATCTACAGGCAATAATTAAATATCACCTTGGTAGCAGTACTGAAGAGAAAACCAATTTCCCTCTTTCGATAGTACAAGAGTATTCTGACCTTTGAAAGAAATGCAACTGACTTTTCCTTTAATTACCAAATATAACCTTAAGGTTATGCAGTTCTAAAACCCATTTGCCCTATTTTACAATTAGCATTTTTTTTAAATTAAAAAATCCCTCCACTCTCTAATAATTTAGAATGTCATCACAGAAGTGAATTTTTTATTCTGTTAATTCTTCACAAATATTTTAATTAGAGATGTCGTGATGCTGATTTTGCATAGTTCTGTTAAGGCTGGGGAATAGGGCACTCTGGATTGTTTAGACCCACAGTAAAGGTTTCACAGGTCAGATCTGAAGTCTCTTTCTGATTTTCATCTGGTTTTTGTTATCCCCTTAACACATCTCTCGATCTTGACAGGACAAGAGGACAGAGCCTCAAGCTGCACCAGGCAAGGTTCAGGATGGACATCAGAAATAATTTCTTCATGGAAATGGTCATTAAATATTGGAATGGACTACCCAGGGAAGTGCTGGAGTTACCATTCCTGGAGATGTTCAAGAAACATCTGGACATGGCACTTGGTGCTCCAGCGTAGCTGACAAGGTGGTGATCCGTCAAAAGCTGGGTCAAGGATCTTAAAGGCTGTTTCCCACCCAAATGATCCTATGATTCAATCCTGGAGACCACAGCCAGCTTAGAGGATGCTTCTGCTTTGCTCACCAGCCTTTCCCAGGGAAAAGAGGAGCTGCTGGAGCCGCTGGTCTCACTAACCAGTGCTCGCTGAGCGAGGAGCAGGCCCCAAGGGCAGGGCAGGAGCAGCCGCTCCTCTGAGGCCTCAGGGACAGCAACAGGGCAAGAAGGAGCCAAAAAATACAGACCTGGCTCCCCAGCTGGCCAAAACAGAGACAATCCAAAATCAGCATCCAGAGACAAGGAAAATCCTGCCACACCTGCCTGCCTTCTCTAAACTCCGTGTCACCTCAGCGCTGTGACACTGACTCCTTCCTCCAATTTGGCAGTTTCAAAAAAAGCAAAAAAAGATGCCCCCTCTCCCATTCTGCTCCAGAACAGGCACATAGTAGTTTCCTCTTCCTCCTTCAGATGTCTCATCTCACTCTGCTTTGTGATACAAATTTGATGTGTTAGATCTGCTGCCCATTGCAGCCTCGTTCTCCTCTGCTGTTCCTCAGGTACCTCTCTTACACTTCACTGCAAACTCTGGGGAAGGGTCACAGCTCATGTTTGTGCTGCTCCAGCACCCAGCGGAACAGGGCACTGCACAGACACTCTGCGTGCAACCTGCCTTCCCCAGCAGCCACAGGACTGGCACGTCTCTCCAGGTTGAGCCATCTGCCTACATGCATGAGGTATCTCAGCTCCCATGACAGTCATTGTAAAATGAGATTTTGGTGAAAGTGACTGAAGCTCAACTTGCCTGAACACAGGCAGCCAGTGGCACCTTGGATGCTGCATGTATTCTTGCTGTTTCAGGGCAGTGCCAATGCCTTTATGCCCTCTGTCACTCCTGCCAGCCCTGTGCACACACCTATGGTAATTTAGGGTTTCTCAAATGGTACAAGACATTTATGCTATGCAAAGTGGGTTCCCCCACCCCACAGATGCTCAGCCACATCCTTTTCAACAGCACTGCACCAATGGGGATGGGAGTTTAGAAAACCAAACACAGACATCTGCAGACTGTTCTGCCCAGAAGAAGGCATCCCATGCTATCTGAGATGCTTTGGGGTATCCAAAGGGCTTGTGTGCAGCAGGCTAATACCACACAAGTTCTATAGGAAACACACAACTTCTGAAGGCCAGGTAGAAAATCCCAGGGCACCTCCAAGTGCACAGTGATTTGTGCACAACTCTACTGACCCTCAAGCATTTCAGTCTGGAGTTGAAGCCCCCCACTGCAGCTGTCTACAATGTAAGTACTTCCCCTTTATGGTCAAAGAAGAGAGACATTTCCAGAGGATGAGTCACATCATTCCCCTCCTCCCCACTGACCATATAAGCACGGACAGACTCAGATTAAAATATCCAACTTCCAGAGAGATAAGTTACGACAGGTGAATCCCTCTGTTCCCCCCAGTAATACACACAGACAAGACTCATCGGAATGAATCGATGGAAAGCATTCATCCTCAACCTCCCAGCTCACAGTTTTAAATTACTCTCACACAACAAACTATATAGTATATCATATTTAGTCAGCTGAAAAAAATGTAACTGATGAGATAAATGTTATTCTCGTCAGGCTCCACCAGTTATCTTCTTCATGAAGAATGAAATGTCAGGAGACCTCACCAGAGGAGAAATGAGGAAGGTTCACTTCACTTGAGAAGAGCAACTGAGTGCTGAAAATCCTTCCAAAGAGACATGGGAACAGACAACCCCAGCAAGCAGAGGGGGCTGCAGTACAAAGTCTGTTTCTCCTCTTTATAGACAAGCTGATTTTATCAACTTGTTCTGAAATGATACAAAATGAAGTTAGATGACGACAGCCCAGTTCAACACCTCAGGTGTAACCAGATTCTTTCTTCCACAGAGCTGTGTGGAAAAATTACATAATATAAGCAGGCATTGCTGCATGAAAAAAAGCAACTGCACATCCCCATCTCTTATCTGCCCCTGCCCCCTCAAGTGCTTCCCTGCCCTAAAAGAAACTATAATGATACTGTGCAAGTCACAGACTCAAGAAACAGGTGTAAATCAGTACTGAATAACAAGCCCCAAAATACCCATTTTTAGCCAGGAGCAGCTCCTCAGCTGACATTATGGAATAGCCACATAACACTGGGACACAAAAGGAAACACTGCAGGAGCAAGAACAAGCAGTCAGGGATGAGCAGGGTGAACAGAACAGACTCCTATGCCAGCATTGCTGCTTTTACCATGGTTATATATAGCACAAGGTGTGGAATAAATGCAGGAAATCTCATTTGTTGTAAAGCATTTCTTTACAACATTCCTAGATATTTATCTGCAAATCAGACTGTTTAAATAGGCTTTTATCAGCTATCTTCCACAAAGTGTGAGTTACACTACAGGGTCATGGTCTACCAGGTAACCACACACTCACATCACTCTGACATTACAGTTATTGCCAAAACATCTGAAAAGAGCAGATGGTCACAGCATGCAACAAGGTGTGTCCCCTTATGGTCAATGGACAGAGAAATGCACTTCTTTGGAGTGCTTCAGCAGGCAGCTAAAGAAGATCAAAGAGAAAACCCTAAATGCACCTTTTCCCATCAGCTTGACAGACAGTCCCAGGAGCAACAGCTTAAGTGGATATGCACACGCCATAGATGAGATTAATTTCACCTGTTTTAAGTCATGTGCTGTGCTTTCAAACCTTTACTCTGCAGGTATAGTGAGAAAGACAATCCAGCTAAATCATGTTTTATATGGACACTTCCTTGGAAACCTCTCTTATGAAGGATTTTAAAATCTGTGTCCAGGTAATAGACCCATTCAAATAAGCTACTATATATTTATTTCATGTTTTTATACAAAGTCTAGTACTGATACATATATTAGAGAAACTAATTTGCAGTAGAACTTACAAAAAGTTTAATTGGTTTCTATTTGTTGATCCATAATGAAAAATGCCTTAAAGGCAACAACAGCATCGCCACTTTTAGCTCCTGGAATAAAAAGTTCAATTACTGTGTGGATAATGTAATATGCATAATGGAATAGGAATTGCAGAAATGGTACAGACTGTGCTGTCCTACCAAGGACCTTGACTTGGAAAGGCTGGGACTGATGATGAAGCATCTGCTGTATCATGACAGAAATAATCAAAGCTGGTTAAGAAAGTGATCACTAACTTAGGTCTGATGAAATATTTACCATAAATTGAACCACATCTTCAGGCTTGTGCTTTGATGATTTGAAGGCAGCCAGTCGGGTAACAACAACAATGTGATACTCGACATGGCCAGACATCATCTTCCCACGGATTTCCTGGTATTCCGGTACGGACAAATCCAGCCCCGTGTGTGTATTCTGAATTTGCCTAGGGGAGAAAATACACAGAGTTCAGGCATTGGCACAAAGACTTTTAGCTGTCCCTCTCCCAGTTACAAGCCCTAGAAAATCAATGCAAAAGCTCTCACTGGATCAGGACATCACACAGACCCTGTTCCCAACACTTCCTACTCTGTAACAAGACTAACTGGGACATGGCCTGTTTCCTATATTCCATCCCAAAGCACCTGCCATGAGCCTCTGCAGGCAGCATCCCAGGAACACATAATTTCTGTGAAGAGATGTGGTTTCATTCAGAATGGGACTTCACTTGCAGGAGCTGAAAGTCCTCTTAGCCCACTTGGCAGGTGAGAAGATCCAATGATCTCTCATCAGGTTTATTTTGAGACAAAGGTCTGTTCATAGTGACTCATGCCGAGCCCTATCCACCTCTCCTTTATCTAAGGACATTCCCAGAAATGACAGAGACAATAACTGAAAGTGCCATGAAAGAAAGAAGGAGCTCCCTGGAGCACAGGGACAACTTGTGAAGAGTCAATCAGGAAAGTGGATTAAAGCCAAAATACAAAGGAAGCTGCTGGAGCAGACTGATGGGCCAATTGCAGTTTCCACTTGTGAAGATCCTTGAGGAAAATCAGTCAAACATCAGGACTGAGCAAGTTAAAGAAGGACATGATCCCTCAGAGCTGCCTTTGTCTGGTTTTGACTATCTGATACACAGTCTTGCTGCCAAACAGCCTAAAGGGCACACTAGCCAAAACATATTGGCTTTCCCACAGAAGATCCTACTGGAAACAGAACCACCTGTCCTTTCATACCCAGTTAAATAGCATTAACCTCTGAGAGCAGTCATAACCACCCATGGTTCCTCCTGGAGGAAAATGCAACAGAGGAGCTGCTGCTGCAGTTTACTCAGTGGATTTTTTTCCTCCTGACCTCTTCAGATGCACAGAACTGTGGCACCACCTTCCCCCTGGAGAGCCCCCTGAAAATATTTATGATGTTTTTGCAAGAGGAATGCCAGGTCATATTACAGTGCTCACACATCAAGAGTAAGACCAAGCACTTGCTGTTGGAGCATCAATCGGTACATATAATGAAATAAACAGTCTGTTTTAATAGCCTGAAAAGCAAAACTGATCAAAGACCCCTTCCCCAAAGTTACCCTATGCCAAGCCACAGACCACTTGCTGTTGCTGGGTATTCTGCCAGAATTGGAAGTTCACTGTCCACAGCACTGAATACCCTCTGAACACATCTCTGAGCACATTCTTCCTATGTGTAAATGTTTTTTAGAGAAATCAGAAGGGACCACTTAAAAGAAAACTAAACTAGGATTATTAAACATTTTTTCTGTCTTTTTAAACTTTAACCATGAGGATTATCAAGTTCCATCTTCCCTGGATTTCCTGTGGACTGCAGAGTTTTTGTGGAATTCTTCACCTCTTCCTTCAGGAAGTTTAGAATCATTAACACAAGTGCCCTTTCACCTAAGGATACACAATGCATAGAACTTAATATACACTTTCAAGAGGCTTAAACAATCTAGTTTCAAACAAAGTTTCAAAAGATCCTCTCATCATGTCAAAACTTGATCAGTTCTTATGAAACTTGAGCTTCCCCAAGAAGACAATCTCTGAATCTCTAATTCAAAGCTTGAATCAAAAGCCTTTTAAAGAGAATATCCTGAGAGCTCCTGATAAATAGGATAACAACAAACAAGGACACAGACTCAGTTTTGTACCCAATCCTCTTTGCAAGCCATATTTAAAGCATTAGGGCTTTAACAACAGCTCTTACCATCTCCAGAATTTTGATGATGCTATTCTGACTGCTCTGATTCTGTTCTCATGCTCTGCCAGTCAGGGACTTCACTTTACACATCCAGACAACATTTTGTTCTCAGTTACAGGTGGCTGGCTCTAAAACACAGAACCAGTAGTGCTCATGTGTGAATGCACAGGTGCCTGGCTTTCACACAGCATCCTGTGGGACCTGGGAGTAACAACCATCACCTGTAACTCTGCCTCTTCCAGTAGCAGCCAAAATGCTGGCTCTAAGGGCACCTGCCAGTTACCTCAGCTGGATCTGGACTTTTTTAGAATATACCTGCAGCAGAGGATATGCTCTTAGAAGAAACTTACAGCTCACAATAGCCCTGAACACTGTTAAGATCACCAAAGGACTTTGCCCACTCTGGCAGACTGTATAAAGAAGCAACTCCTCATCTGCAACCACCAATGCCTCCACCCCAAATCTGCCCCCACGAATTCCTGGAAATATGGACAGTAAATTAAGCCACATGACAGGGACTTGAGATAACATAAAGGGAGTACTATTGTCCAAGTTATCTCAAGCCTAAGGAGAGATAAACAAGAGTGGGGGAGAAGAGTGTAACACTGCAAGGAGTCCATGGAGAAGGCCAGCTCAGCAACTGTGCTGAAGGTCAGCTCTTGACTGCAGGAGACCATAGTCCCCTGACTCCAAAGAAGAGACACACTGAGCACAGGACAGTCACACTCCTATGTAGGCCTGAGGGTTCTTATCCCTTCTGATGGGGCTCAACTACACAGGCATGAGAGGCAGCTGCCATGTCTTAAAAGGTGTCATAAACCAGCAAAGTCACCCAAAGCACCCCCAGATTTATTTCTGGGCCATCAGAGGATTGTACATGATTCACAGTGTAGCAAAAGACAGTGCAAAACTCCACCCTGCAGGGGAGGTGCTTGGGCATGCCTCTATATACCTGAATGCATATTAGCCCATTAAACTTTATGTTTTGTGGGACCCTTACCACTAAAAAGAGTGAAGAAGGACCAACAAAACAATGCTGGATCCACAAGGCTAGTGATTATCTTTCTACTTCATTGTTCTCTCTCTGCCTTTCCCTCCACCCTTTCTGTGTCTTTGTCTCTCCCACATTTCACTTAATAAAATCTGCATTATTGATTTTTAGCATATGATCTCACTGGCACCTTAATTTGGGGAGAAGTATCTCTCTCTAATAATCACAATAATCAGATCTTAACAGCTCTCCAGATGTACAGTCACTCAGGTTGTGACTGCAGCTATGGCAGCCAAAAGGTCTGGCACTCATACTCAAAAGTGACCCACAACCCCAGGGAAGTGTGTGATTACCAGTCCTTGAAAGGATGTGTGGAAGTGGCACCTGGGAACAAGGTTTAGTGTGGACCTGACAGTGCTGGGTTAATGCTTGCAGTTGATGATCTTAAAGGTCTTCTCAATCTCAAATGAGTCTGTGATTCTACTTCTGTTAACACAGAGTATAAATGACTAATTAACCTGCTTTTCACCTCTAATATAAATAAAAGGAGTAATGACCGGTGAACCATCCTCAATGGCCTTTAGCTGAAAACGGCAACCTTGTACAGATGTTCTGAGATGACACAATGACAACTTCACTGAAAGAGCTGCTGCATTAGAGAGTTCTGAAACTGCAATGAAGTTAGTAAGTACCTTATGTATACCCAGGGTTTTTCTTATAAAGTTGTTAGAAGTCTGTGCTAAAATGTCATGGAAATTATTAGAGGGAGGGGGAATAGCTACATTTTTGTTTGTTTGCTTTAGGCCTTATGATCATTTTCATTATCATCTCCTACAGGAAACCCAACCCTATTATCTTCTATAGCAATAGGATTTCTTTTTAAATATAAAACTGATTCTAAAGAAACAGGAATCAGCAGGGAGGCTGAGACAAACAGAGCATACTATCAAAGTGCTCCCTAGTTCTTGTAATGCCTTCAAAATAAGCAGCCTTAATGTTTTAACTAATTAAATACTGTTATTGTTATTCAAACAGAATCAGCACCTGCAAACCCCAAGACAGAATATAGTTTCACTGCATCTTTCACATAAAACCAACTATTTTTACACTTGTATCCTTAAAAAAAAGCAGCAAAAGGAGAAAACTGGTTGTTTAACTTGGACACACAGGTTTATTGCTTCTACTCTTTATTTGAATCTAGCTTACCTCCAGTTTACACTTCTGTCTACAAAACAGACAGTTCACCAGAGACCTGGGCACATGGTTAACCTTCCTAACAGGAGTCACTTCACCCAAATACAAGGAGACTGTTCATACCAGCAGCACTGCTGTGAATCAGAGCATTGCACAATCAAATCATGCAGGACCAGCCCAGAACAGAGGAAGTGCAGACTATAAAGGTCAGCTGAACTGAGCAGCTTCCACAGTTCATGGAAGAGCTGGGTGTTCACTCCTGGTTTTTTGATTTGCATATAATCATTAAATTGTATTTCAATTAATCTGCTTTCTGTGCTGAAAGGCCAACATGGAGGCTGGTCAATAGGCACCTCCAGAAATAAAGTAAAACAAGAGATGCAAGTGCTGTGACCAGAGAAACATTTATTCCAGCATCTGTATGGCCAGGAGAGCAGAGTCTGTGCTTCCTGCCTTGATAAACTCAGCCCTGCCAGCAGCACCCAGCTCCAAAAACCTCTCTCCAGAGGGGACCAAATTGTGACATTCCTGGTCATAACAGAAGGAGAAAAAAATGTACAACCAGTTTTATTTATTAAGTGAGGGGAAAGTACTCACCAAATAGTTTATTTCTCTGTCTGGTCTAATTACAAGTATACAGATTTTATAGGCTCCCCAGAGAAGTGATCACAGCACCAAACCTGACAGGGTTCAAGAAGTGTTTGGACAATGCTCTCAGGCACATGGTGTGACCCTTGGGATGTCCTGAGCCGAGCCAGGAGTTGGACTCCATGATCCAACTCAGCATAGTCTGTGATTCCATGATTTATATTACCACAGAAACTAGGAATCCTATTCCCAAAACAAGTATGTGGAAAAAAGAGGGGAAAAGGTCACAACTATACAGTTATTTCACCATAGAAGCTAGAAAGTATGTCCACTTACTAAAGTCTTAATCCCACACATGCATATATACCCAATTTTATCACTGAAAGCATTCCAATTTCAGTGGGACAATTTGCAAGTGGGTCTTTCTCAATCTAACAACTGTAAAATTAATCCAGGTGTTCCAATTTCCATTTCCAAGGCTAAACTTTATATAAAGTCAGTCCTGCAAAACGTCTGTTAGTCACATTAGATACATTTGAAGGTTCAAGGCCACTGCTTCAAGCAAAGTCCAGCCCTGATACAGCCAAATATTTAAGGATTAAAATAATGACTTTGAAGTTAAATCGACTGAAATACTCATTATTTATGTCCTAGGAGGTAAGGACCTTGCTGAATCAACACTTCTGCTTCTCATGTCTCATCTGATAGGAAACTGCTTTCATGTGGTCTCAAATATCTCATGGGGATTAAAAAAAAAAAAAAAAGAGAGAGAAAGAGATCTATCAATTTCCCTATAAGAAATTGCCATAAGCATTTTCTTCTTGAGGTATTTCTCATCAGGATTCCTTTCCCACACCTAGGAAGAAACAGGGTTTAAACATTTAATGCAAAGGAGAAGAGCGCCCCTGCACCACGCAGGGGGCAGCTTCCAGGAGGTGGGAAAGGAGAATAAACTCTTTTTCTGCCCATTCCTGGGCTGCCGGCCAGAGGGGACACGAGGAGGGGATACAGGGATACAGGGCACAGCAGCGGGCATGGGCACCGGCCAAAGCACTGGGGACACCGCCGCACACCGCAGGATAAACCCTAATTCCTGCCCACCCACCGCCAAACACCGACAAGGAAAGGATGTGTCCGGTGGGCAACAGCACCCAGAGCTGCGCCAGAGCGGACGGCAAAGGACGCGGAGCTGTCACAAGAGGAGACGGAGGGCACACAGGACGGGCCAGGGATCCCCCCGGCTGTGGAATGCAGGAGAACTGGAGAAGATCTGAAGTGCCCCGGGGCAAACCCACACAGCACTACCCGGCTTCCCCTCAGCCTACGCCACTCCTTCCTTTGCTTCCCCTTCCCTTTCTCCTTCCCCGCTCCCCCCGGGCTGCCCCGCCGAGGCCGCGGCGGCTGCGGGCGCGGGGCGCTGCCCGGCCCGTCCCCTGACGGTACCTGGTGGTGGCCAGCACGGCGGGAGCCGCGCCGCGCTGCTCCATGGCCGCGGGAGGAGGTCCCGCCTCCCTTCCCGGGGCCGGACCCGCCGTCCTGCCGGATGTCAGGCGTCGGCGGCTCCGGTGCAAAAGGAGCGGGGGGAAGAAAACGTCCGGCACGGGGAGGAAAAGAAGAGCGCGGCTCGTAGTCGGCAGGATTCGAACCTGCGCGGGGAGACCCCAATGGATTTCTAGTCCATCGCCTTAACCACTCGGCCACGACTACACCGACGGGCGGGTGTGTTGCCACGTGAGCCCCACTAATTCACCCTGCAATTCCTCTTCCTCCCGGACCCAAACTTTCCGCAACTTCCCCCAAACCTCAGTGAATCCCTGGGCGCTTCTCTTCCTCACGGGAAACAGCTCGCACGCACCTCCCGCTGACACAACGGGCACGGCGCTGCTTCCCCAGGCAGCACCAGCCGGGTGCGAGGCACGGCCACCCCCGCAGCCTGGCCACACACCTCGGAGCGGCTGTGTGTTCCGAAGTTTATTTTGGGAAAGAAGAGGGAAGCAGCCGGTCCTTCTGCTGCTGGTGCTTGGGGCACCCGCGGCTCGGCTGGGCTGCCCTGGTTTGTTTGCGGGCTGCTGGGTGTACCCGGGCCCTTGGTTATCCCGCGGCCTCTCTGCGCTCCTGGGCACGGTTCCTGCAGGGAAGCGCCTGGGAAAAAAGCTTCGCAGCGGGCACAGCTTCGTGGAATCACGGAATTACAAAGTCGTTATGGTTGGAAAAGACCTCTAAGATCATGGGATCTAATCGTTTACTCATTCACCATGTTCACAACTAAACCATAACCCTAAGTGCTACAGCCACATGTTTATTTGAACACTTCCAGTGACAGCAATCCCACAACTTCCCTGAGCAGCCTGACCACCCTTTCAGTGAAGAATTTTTTCCTAATATCCAATTTAAACCTCTTAAGGTGCAACTCGAGGCTATGGCTATGTCTTCATCTGTCACTTGTTGCTTGGGAGAAGAAACCGACCCTCACCTGCCTGCACCCTCCTGTCGAGTAGTTGTAGAGAGTGATGGGGTTCCCCCCAGGCCTCCTTTTCTCCAGGTTAAACACCACCAGCTCCCTCAGCTGCTCCTCATCACATTTGTGCTCCAGACCCTTCTCACCAGCTCTGCTGTCCTTCTCTGGACAGACAGAAACCACAGCCCGAGAATATTATAAAAGTGATAAAAAACCAGATGCTGATACTGCATCAGTGCAGCCAGCCTCCAAACAGGCTCAGCACCTCAAGTGGGTATGCAGCAGTGTCCCCAGAGAGAAGCAGCCCTTGAAAGATGACCTAGTGAGTGGATTAAGACTTTTCACCCCAGAAAGTTGGAGGAGTTTGGGAGTGATGGAAATGTCAAAATCAAGAGCAGTCCAAAGTGGCAGACACAGAACAATCTTTTGATGCTTGTGGTGAAACAAGAAATCTGGAACATGAAACCCACGAGTCAAAACAAAAGGGAGACTTCATGGGTGGGGTCCCTTCCTAAATCCCCATTGTTTTCTCTCCCTGCCACTACAAATCTTTTGTTAAGCAGAGTGTAAACACCACCACCCAGCTGTAGCCTTTCTGGCACAGGAGTTGCAGTTTCCAGAAATGCTGCAAGCCACCAGAAAGTGCTTTTGGAAGATTAATTGTTTTCATGTGGCCTCTGAAGGGTTAAAAAGCTCTGGGGTTGAGTTCCTGTAAGCTTATAATGAATAGTTCTATGGCTAAACAAATTGCTTCTCTAATGGCATTTTTATTCCCATTTGACTTCCTGGATAATGCAATTTATTCAGATAGTAACAAGGAGTAAGCAGCTGGCAGCTTGCTGTCTGAGACAGCAAAAATAGAGCAGGACCTGAGCCCGTGAGTTCCCACTGAGGCTTGTCATGCTCACTGAGCAGTGTCCTTCCAGATGTTGCTAAGTGCCTGTGAAGGGGCTTCAAAAGCTGGGGATTTTCTCCCCAAACAGAAGTGTCTGCTTGGCTTCAGTGAGCTGCCACTCTGTGTCCTGGAGAGGCTGTGTATGCTGTGTCTGTGCACTCAAGGAGAAGTCTGAGCACTGCCAGTTTATCTGATTTCCTAACAAGTCTTATCATACATGGCATTTTTATAACTCCACAGCCCACATCATCATAACATGTGAATAAAACAAGTCCCTCAGTGGTGCTAACCTCTGAAGTTGTGGAAATAATCAGCTGATTTTCCCACAAGGTTAGGGCAGGGTCTTTGTTCAGATGGTGACTGTGAAGAGTGAACCTCTGCATAAAGGTGGACATAAATCAAACCTGTCAGGAGAAAACTAATATGCCAGTAGAGCTATCTGCAGGACATAACCATCAACTTGCCTCTTTGAGAAGCAACTCCCAGAATACTTGGAGTTTGATTCCCATGTTGCTTTGGATGCTACACAGAAAATTTCTTCCACTGAACCAATTTTTTTACTCAATTATCCACTGGAAACATGCAGGGGGATGCCTATGGGAGAATGTCCAAAGAATCTGAGAACCAATACCAATAATAATCATCACTTATAAACTTATATTTTCCTACCTACTACTTGGGTTACTCTCAGCTGTTTCTCTCCCTTTCATGGTCCCTTCTGCCTCAGTTAAATTCTCTATGAGCAAAGGAAAGACAAAGAAACTCTCTGAAGTTTCAGGACTATTTTCTTTGGGATTTATGGCTTTTTTCCCTGCCTCTTAGCTCTGCAGTACTGACTGGTTAGTACGTTGCTTGACTTAATTTTATCCATTCTTTTTCTGTTTTATTTTCCCTTTCTTTCCATACCCTCAACAAACTCAATCAGCATAGTCACACAGTCTGTATTTACTAGCCTAATTTATGCATAGCCTCTATTGTAAAACTATTAATTAATTTGCATAGAATGACTGCCTAATCAGAAATGCATGTTCTTTTACTGCAGGTATGTGTGGTACTGTACTAAACCCTCTGTGGTTTCTGCATAAATGAGGCAAGGCCAAAGATGACTGCTCCAAGGGAGAGAGGATACTCGAAGAAAATGTAAGTCCGATTTCTGTCAAAAGCTTCTAGAAAGTGAAGGAAAAGAATGAGTGGGAGACAAGTAATTAAGCTCAATAGGAGGCTGAAGGAGGTTTTTGTTGTCTTCAAGATGTCTGAGCATTGGGAAGTGTCCTGCAGCAGTGCGGCTGCGAGACAGACGTCCGGCTAGCTGGGCAGCACCGCTAGCAGCACAGGGGGCACTTGTCCCGATAGCTCTGCTCCAGGACAGCGCCCAAGGCCATTGCCCAGTGTTACAGCTGTGGGCATTGCCTTGTGCAGGACGAGGCTGTATCGAAGCTGCAACCAGCGGAATAGAAAGGCGGACTCCAACTATGGTTAACCCAGGCTTTAATAAATCCTAAGGGAACCAGCAGGAGAAGACTGGTAAGGAGGGACTACAGCAGTTTTTAAAGGGTGGAGGATGTAAGGGAGGTGCCAGTCCCTGGACCAATAAGGATACAGTGGGGAGTGGGATCCAAAGGACTGACATGGGGAAAACACCAGTGGGGACAATTCTGAGGAGGGGCTCCAGTCCCTGAACCAATCATCCAACTCTCCAGCTGGAAACTTCTAGCAACAAAGGTGGGAATGGAGAGTGACTGGCAGGGCACTGGGGAGGGGTTGAGGAAAGGATACATTGGTTTCTGGGGAAACTGGGGAGGAGTTTTAAAAGATACAAAGACAACTGGGGTGGGGTTAGGGTGACAGACACTAACAGGCAGAGGAGGAAGAACCATGGCAGAACCATTACCAAACAAGGGGGGAACAGACCAGTCCAACTTTAACAGAACACAGTACAACAGTGTCCATGTAAGAGGAACTCATGCTGAAAATGGTATTGTCCAGGAAGGCTAAGATAACTCTCCCAACACAGTGGTAATGGAGAAGCCAGGTTTTAAACAAAGAGTTTATGGGAAGATGCATATAACCTCTTTAACTAGAGGTGTTGCTGTTTCATGAGTCAAGGGGCTGTTCCTGGTTTTACTACCACCACCATAAAAAATCTTTTAGCTGTCATTTCACAGAATCAAAAGGAAAATGAGTTATTCTTAGAACTCAAAACTCAGATATCTGTCCCAGTCCCTCTTCGAGCCTCTCAGGAGCCCTGGGCCAGTCCCGAGTCGGCAGACACCGGGGGTGGGGGGGCAGCCCCGACACGGCCGACAGCGGGGAGACACTGTCTGTGTGTGCCCCGAGGGTACTGAGGGCACCTGGGCTGGCAGGGAGACACTGTCTGTGTGTGCCCCGAGGGTACTGAGGGCACCTGGGCTGGGGGGAGACACTGTCTGTGTGTGCCCCGAGGGTACTGAGGGCACCTGGGCTGGCAGGGAGACACTGTCTGTGTGTGCCCCGAGGGTACTGAGGGCACCTGGGCTGGGGGGAGACACTCTCTGTGTGTGCCCCGAGGGTACTGGGGGCACCTGGGCTGGGGGGAGACACTGTCTGTGTGTGCCCCGAGGGTACTGAGGGCACCTGGGCTGGCAGGGAGACACTCTCTGTGTGTGCCCCGAGGGTACTGAGGGCACCTGGGCTGGCAGGGAGACACTGTCTGTGTGTGCCCCGAGGGTGCTGAGGGCACCTGGGCTGGCAGGGAGACACTGTCTGTGTGTGCCCCGAGGGTGCTGAGGGCACCTGGGCTGACAGGGAGACACTCTCTGTGTGTGCCCCGAGGGTACTGAGGGCACCTGGGCTGGGCGCCTTTGCAGCACAAGAGACACCAGAGACATCGGTAGAAGAGAAAGGGCCGACTCTTAGCAGGGGTTAATCCAAGGTTTTATTAGGAGTCCCAAAGGAGCTCCTGCACCTCAGGGGCCTCCTGCCAAGAGCCTCGGGAGATGTGCCAAGGTCACATTTAAAGGGAGGTGGAAACCAAAAGTAGATAACATTTTACCAACCAATAAGCGACCCTAAGGGATGGGTACTGGGGGACAGACATATAGGACAGTGTATGGGGCAAGGCTTGGGGGGCTGACTCCCAGCCTCTGGCTAATCAC